TATAGTATGCATATTAGTTAAATTTAATAATACAGAATGGTACATGAGTGCATTGTTGGTTAAAGAAAAATTACTTTTTTACAAATTGCCAGTGGCATAAGTATTTTGAAAATTTATTTAAATGTCTTTAGGGGTTACATACAGTTGTACCGCGCAAAAAAATTAAATTTTATCGCTTTTTTTTGACACCATAGAAAATATTTACTAAAAATGTTTTACCGACGTTGTATATTACAGGTTTCTGGGTACTTATTTAAATTTTTTCATAACAAAATTGTAAAAATTAAAAATGTTATAGTCAAATTCCAAGACTGTTTTTTTCGATGGTGTCTTGCGGTGGACATCATATCCCGATAACGGTTCATCCGAAATCAATTCTACAAAATTTCGTTAGTATATTGTATTGCCTAGTCCGTGAACAAAGGATATGTAAAAATTTTGATAAAAAAAAAAATGGCAACGGTTTTAAAAAAAAAAAAATATACTTTTTCAAGGTATAAGATTTTTAATTTTAATTCTCTAAAACAGGAAAAAAAATAATTTAAAATCCTTCGTTTACGGACTAGCTATTATCATAATAAATAAGTGGTCAAAATTTGTTGATCGGATTAATAGTTTTTTAGTAATCGTGTCCAGCGTAAAGGTAATTTCGAAAAAACAAGATTCTGAGATAATCGCGTTTAAAGTTTCAAATTTGTTTAAGTTTGATGTATAAATAGCTACAACTTCGGTTCTAATAGGCCGATCGTTTTGAATTTTGTGAGAGTATTCTCAACAGTATATACTTAACGAATATGCAATAAAAAAAATCGATTTTTTCATCTATCACAACTGTATATAACCCCTTAAAATTATAAAAACTTAAATGACGACTAAAAAAAATTAATAACAAATTAATAGAAAATGTATCCACCCTTAGCATTTATAACTTTTTGGAGACGTCTTGGTACTGACTGTACCAAACTGGAATATCCTTCCATAGAGATTTTATCTCTAAAATCGTATCTCGATTTCTAGTCAAGTTTGCGCTCCTCTTTTATTTTTTAAATATGACCAAAGGGTTTCTATTATGTTGAGATCTGGACTGTGGGATTTGTTCCAACATCATTCAAATATTGTGTAATTATTTTGGCTTTATGGCACGGGGCGTTGTCCTGTTAAAAATCACCAATATTTTGGTGGGAGAATTTTTTTCCCCTTTTTGCACAATGTTGGGACACTGAAAATTATAATTATAAAAACATTCACAAGGGGCTCAAAAAATCAAAATAATAAAAAAAGCATTTTATTATAGCAATTAAAAAAATCCCTTCATTTTACAACAGCTTATTATTATACTATGACAAATAATGCGGAGCTTCTTAAAAAAAATGTTCTGCGAAGAAGAAATTTATCGCTTCAGGTCGACCATTTTGGCAGAAACAGAAACAAGAATAAATTTCTTGCAGTGAAAAGTTTTCTGCACTCCAAAAACAAAATTCATTCGGATTAGCACGATTGAGGAGAATAGGAAAAATACCAAAAATTGTTATTGTAATTGCCCTTTGCTTATGCTGGTACCAACGAAGCTTATGGCGTGAGCAACGAACCTTAGGGCGTGAGCAGTCTCACACAACTTCGTATGCATGAGCATTTGCAAAAACAAATGAGCAGCGAGAGCAATGGGATCAGCACCACTGTGTTAGAGTATAAAGGACTTCCCCATCAATTTATCACCAGAAGGAAAAGCATGGTTATTGAGGACCTCTAAATACTTATCTTTATTCATGGTTCCATCAACATTAACTAAATCTCCCAAGCCAATGAGTGATGCGCTTCCCCAAAACGTTACGTACCCGCCTGAATGACTTGTCCTTTCACATACGGGTGCCACTTTTTTGCGATGTTGTTTCGGCAATCGAGCATAAATCTTTTTTTTTCGAGAAATGGAACCCATCACTCCAGAATGCTTCAGGCTGACCGACAAATTTTTTGGCAAATTCAAGGCGCTTTAACTTATTGCTTGGAGCTACTTGTGGTATGACTCTGGCAATATATGTTCCAAATTCGGCTTCCTTGAGACGTCTACAAACCGTTCTTTCACTGATATTCTTTTAATTTATTAGCAACTGATCAAGAAGTATGTAAAAAATTCTGTTTAAACTTTCTCAAAACAAAGGTATCAGCTTTGCTTGTTGTATTACGTGGTCGGCCACTACGCACAGTGGTCGATTTGGCCTGGCTAGCGGCATTTAATTATGATTTTCAAATTTAAATAAAAGTTAATTTAAGTTTACCTATCGATAGTATACACCTTGATTAGATGCTAATTGATGTTTTCTAAGCTTATCTATAAGCTGATAATCAGCTGTGAACTGTCAAAGTCAACATATGTTTCAGCAGTTGATATTTACAATTTTGGCGCCCTTTTACTTATTGGTTGCATATTTGAATAAATAGTGCAATTTACGATTATTCTAGTGCAAGTTTGGTTTTTAACAACTATTAAGGTATGTGCTACATAGAAAATCTGTGCTTGTGACGTGTCAGTATATGTGTTACTTATAAATTGTAGTGAATTTGGAGTGTATTAACAATGTGCGGAATAGAGCGCACACCAGTCTTTCGTGAAGGAGAACTTAACAAATTCACCTGAATTCACTCTGGTTGCAATTGTTTGTTAAAGTCTGAATTATTATCTGTCCGAAATGTCAAAAATGAAGTGCGTAGTCCTGCGTATCTAAAAGTTATTTCACTTTTTAGGAAGAATGTCAGTGTCGAAGCGAGCACTTTTCTTAGTATGGCACGGCGAAGCCGTTACAATCAAATATGATTGTAAAAATAGTAGTTTCAATAGTGGGCTTCTCCAGTAGTGGAAGAAATACGATATAAATAAGGCAGCTTTTGAAAAAAGGAATAATCAAAGGCTAGACACGGCTCAGGTGTTGATGGAAAGATCATCATTTAGAAATGTTGGACGCCCAGAGAAAAGTATTTCAAAGTGATGCAGAATAACTCAAATCAACAAACTATCAGGCATTTCAGAGAAAGTCTCGACGTTGCATTGTTGTTGGCTGCAAGTAGCCGCTTGTATAAGGACGGAAATACATCAAGAATTGTGTCGAAGCTGAACGCTGACGAGGAGCTTACCGGGGATATTATAAGAACTGGAAGTACGGCCGGTACTGAAAGTACTAACAATGGAAACACTACACGAAGATTTTTTCCAAATTTAGCGGCGCGCATAAAATGAGTAACCAAATTTTAATTATTTAAAATAATTAATTAGTCCAAATTTTACTTAATTTGGACATTACTTAAACACCAATGCGTTCGGCTCGTACGCTATGGAAACTGCCGAAATTTTTATACCCTTGCAGAGGGTATTATAATTTTGGTCAAAAGTGTGCAACGCAGTGAAGGAGACATCTCCGACCCTATAAAGTATATATATTCTTGATCAGGATCACCTCCTGAGTTGATATGAGCATGTCCGTCTGTCCGTCTGTCCGTCTGTCTGTCCGTCTGTCTGTTTCTACGCAAACTAGTCTCTCAGTTTTAAAGCTATCGTCTTGAAACTTTGCACACACCCTTCTTTCCTTTGCACGCAGTATATAAGTCGGAACGGCCCGGATCGGCCGACTATATCCTATAGCTGCCATATAACTGATTGATCGGAAATGGTATAACTTTGGTGTTTTTAGAGTTAGTGAGTTCAAATTTGACATGAGAGCTATTTTTGGCAAAATAATACGACATGCCAAATTTCGTAAGGATCGGCCGACTATATCCTATAGCTTCCATATAACTGAACGATCGGAAATGACCCAACTTTCGTGTTTTTGAAGATAGAAAGCTGGAACTTGGTACAGATTATATATTTGGTCAGTTGATCCGACCTACCAAATTTCATTAGGATCGGCCGACTATATCCTATAGCTGCCATATAACTGAACGATCGGAAATGGTACTTGGTAGAAATATCAACTTTCGTATTTTTGAAGATAGAAGTTTGGGATTTTTTTTAGATTTTGTATTGTAAAATATTGGATTATATATTCCTATTCCCATAAGGATCGGCCAACTATATCCGATGTTTGCGATATATATCCGGTTTTAACTGCAAGGGTATATAAACTTCGGCTCCGCCCGAAGTTAGCTTTCCTTTCTTGTTTTTAATAAATACCCTTGGTTTGACATTAACAGAATTTTCTGTTAACAGAATTTTACTTTTTTTTTTGTATAATGTATATAAAATTTTTTTATATAATTTATATGTTTCTTATTTGCTTCTTGCATAATATAAGTTATAATTCTATTTCTTACTCTTTTTCTTTAGAATACAAAAAATTTAATAAAAGTCTTTTTTTAAATATAAAAAAAAAATTTAAAAAAAAACACTATAAATTTCATTTTTATCCACATAATGCAAAATTGAGTAACAAACTGAAAATAAAAAACCGATTGAAGATATCTCTAATATTTCAGAAGTTATTAATTTAATGCCGCTAGCGGGACCGAATCGACCACTGTGCTGGTTGAAACTTTGCGCCCATCCTTCCTTGCTTTGCACGCAGTGCAAAGTGCTCGCAGTTTCTATATATTATAGCTGCCATATAGCTGAACGATCGGAAATGACCCAACTTTTGTCTTTTTGAAGATGGAAAGTTGGAACTTTGTACAGATTCTATTTGTGGTTAGTTGATCCGTCCTACTTAATTTCAAAACGATCGGCCGACTATATCCTATAGCTGCCATATAACTGAACGATCGGAAATGGTATTTGGTAGAAATACCATATTTGGTATTTTTGAAGATAGAAGCTTGGGACTTTTTTGTAGCTTTATTGTAATAAATTGGTTATATTATGATATTCTCTTAAGGATCGACCAACTATATCCCATGTTTCCGGTTTTATCTTCAAGGGTATATCAACTTCGGCTCTCCCGAAGTTAGCTCTCCTTTCTTGTTTTCAGTGTTTTAATCTTCTAATAAAATCGTTTTTTTTTTTGTATTTGCAGCCTGGATATAACTTGCTTTTTTGACACAGGAATTCAAGAATGACTGATATTAGTCTATTTGCTCCAAACAAATTTTTGAAAACAGAGCAATCAAGAACAAAGATATTATTAACGGTTACATGCAGAGGATTTTTTTTATTAAAAACTACATGCACAGAAAAAATAAAAAACAAAACATGTATATAAAATATTTAAATACACAGAATTATACGCTTATCCCAGGTTTTAAAATATAAAACAGAAATAGAAAACGAAACCGGATTTCTTCTTTTGACACTCTATTCAAATATTTTACATAAATTAAAACGTAATAAATCATGAAATTACTGGAGAGTTCTCGTTTTGAGGCAATCAACAATGCACTTTCTATACAAACTAGCGGTATCACAATATTTGGACGCATTGAAAGTTACTCCTGGTACGTTGTTTATAAATGAAAGCCTTCAAAATATTTTACCTAATAAATATAAAATATTAAGCATGACGTTGATATTAAAGAGGTTATTTTCGTTGAATTTCCCATTACACTAACCGACATTTTTTATTTTTTTTCAACTCACGACTAATTTCCAGAAAAACAGGTTCCATCAATTTTATTTATCACGAATAACACCGTTTTTCACCGAAATGTAGAAAATAATAGATATATATTAAAGTAATAAATATGAAAAATAGTAAATTGACTTCCTACTGTTACTCCATTTTAACAATAGTTCAACAAGAAAGAAAAGCTTTGTAGTTTATGTTCTAATTTCCGACGAACCATTAATCATCTAAAGCAGTGGTCGGCACCCTAATACAATGATATGATTTTAACGCATTAGTATTAGTAACGAATAGCAGAAAGTAGGCTGTGAGCATGACGTTTTACATATGACGTTTATAGGGAAACATGATTGGACATCAATTCAGGAGGTAATCTTGGTCAAGACTACATATAAATATACATCTGTTTACTTTGTAGGGTCGGAGATAAATACTTTACTACGTTCCACACTTTTGACCAATACGATGCACTTTATACAATAAAAGAAAATTTGATAAAATTATTTTCTTAGGTGAACCTACCCGGTTTACCCAACTGATAGCAATGGTTATGCAAAAGGCAAAAAAAAATGGTGCTTTTTTCTAATGTCCTATAAATGAACCCATTACACCGGCCGACAAAATCGAATTTTGTATCGATAATCGCGGGGGGATATATTTATGTTTGATTACATGGGGGAAGGGGTGTAAAATCATGAAAAAATTTATTATGTAGTATAGGGACAGGCCCTAATGCCATCTGCACCAAAATATTTGGGCTCCCCAGAACCAACGGGTCCCTATGTTTTTCCTGAATTCGTTTCAGAATTCGGGTCGTCGAAAGGACAAATTATGTGTGTGGATTTGTAGCTTTTAGCCGGGGTGCGTAAAAAATAAAGTCGGAAATAAACAAATGCAATATTTAAAACAATTGACAAATGTTAATTATTTGTCCAATGCATCACAAAGACCACAAAAAAGGTTTTTAAAATCAATTTTCTGGTGTTAAGGGGCCACGCAGTTGCGTGGCCAAAAAAAGCAGCACCTATAAAATTTTCCTGCGAGGAGAACTTAAACTTAAACTAAATCGAAAATTTTTTTTTTCCATTAAGGGTCCCCCATTCTCGGTTTTAAAAAATCGATTTTTTTTTTAATTTAATTCGAACTTATAACTATTCAAGAATGTTCCCTGAAAATTTCAAGTAAAAATTTCAAAAACTCTTGAAGATATAGCCGATTTATGGTGGAAGCCTCAGGCGACGGCGAGAGCCGGCTCAAAACTTTAAACGCGTTTTTCTCGAAACAGTGTTTTTACGACTGGCGCATGAGGTTACTCAAAAACTATTAATCCAATCGGTTCCAAATTTTAACACGTTATTCTATACATATATAGCTCTCGTATGAACTAGGATAAATCAAATCGGTGAAGATCTTCTTTACTTTTCAACTCGATTTGTGCCTGAAAAAAATGGAAATTTTCAAAAAAAAATTTCAAAGGTCCGCCATTTTGTTAATTCTTGAGCGAAGCTAATAATCCTAGTTCATACGAGAGCCAAACATGTACTTTTTCTAATCCCGTTGGAATTTTTGGATTCAGATGTTCCAGTGAGCGGAAATCACATGCGCCGCCGAAAAGAAGGGCTTTTCTTTGATCACAAAAAACAACAAAAACAAAAAAAAAAAAAAATTCTGTGAAATGATTTTCTTCCTTTTTGTGTCTTAATATATGTAAGCACAGTTACAACCCTAAAAAATAATTTATGTTCATTTGCCAGCCCATTGAAAATCGTCAAAATTTAAAATCGAGAATGGGGGGGGGTCCCCTTAAAAAATTCTTTAGGGCAGAGGTCGGCACCCCAATACATTGATATGATTTTACCGCATTAGTGTTAGTAACGTATAGCAGAAAGTAGGCTTTGAGCATGACGTTTCACACATTTATTCTGTGTGTGTGTGGCAGAGCTCGGGCAGAGAAATTTCCTATGCCCCCGAGATAGGGCCTTGCCGACCTCTGCTTTAGGGTCTTAAAAATAACATATCAAAAGATAAAGTCCGGCCAAAGTGTCTAAGTGTCGAAATTTTCCATTCTGCGGCGATGCCTCACAGGTATATCCCACAGTACTTAAAACTTTAAACGCGTTTTTCTCGAAACCGCTTTTTTTGAGTTGACCGAACAGTGTTCGGCGAACACATAACTCGAACAACTCTTAACCTATTGATCTAAAATTTTTACGGTATACTCGAAATAACGATGTCTATCGACACACGTAGGATTTTTTTATTTTTTTTATTTTGCTTACTTTTTTTTATCAACAATTTTGTGACGTTTTTTGTTCGTGAAAATTGAAAATTTTCTTCAATCACTCACCATTTTGGAAAAAATCAATATATAGAAAAAATCCTACGTGTGTCGATAGCCGTTGATGTACAGAAACTAACCAAACTTGATTTTTTGTTTTAGATTAAAAATTAAGGACGTTTGGTGTTCGGCCATGGACCCCCTTTTAAAAAATAGGGCCTTCATTCATTCATCAAAATTTATTTGGCCAAAAAAAATTCCAGAAAATCAGCTTTTTTTTTTTAGTAAAAAGTAAAAGTCTTCCTATAAGATGATAATATCATGTCGATCATGTGAAAATATCTTAAAATTTCTCTTCTAAAGCCGTTGTATAAAAAGTCTTTAAGAAAATTTAGCTTTGCGGTGACCTCTTTTGTGCCGGTTTGGTATATCCAAAATCAAAAAATTTCTGAATGGCATCCAGGAAAGAAGTATCCAGCAGCATAGATAGAAGTCCTCACTCGAAGTGGTGCAAGTGGCATATTTTTATACCCTTGCAAATGGTATTATTGTTTTGGTCCAGAGTGTGCAACGCAGTGAAGCAGACATATCCGACCCTATAAAGTATATATATTCTTTATCAGGATCACCTCCTGAGTTGATATAAGCATGTCCGTCTGTCTGTTTCTACGCAAACTAGTCTCAGTTTTAAAGCTATCGACTTGAAACGTTGCTCACACCCTTATTTCCTTTGCACGCAGTGTATAAGTCGGAACGGCCTGGATCGGTCGACTTTATCCTATAGCTGCCATATAACTGATTGATCGGAAATGGTATAACTTTGGTGTTTTTAGAGTAAGAGAGTTCAAATTTTACATTTTTTTTTTTATTATCAATCATTCAAAAGTTACATTTAAAATCTGTCCGGAATTATGAACAATAATTAAATTTTTTAATGATACCTTAGCTTAATGGAATATTGAGTAATATGTTATAATGTACAAATATGATTTTTGCTTGTCCTACGAACTACTTTTAACTTTAATTTTTGTTTAAGCCTTGACGTTTCAATTAGAATTTTATGGTGAACCCTTTAGTGGGCGTGGATTAATCTAGAAATGCAGCTCAGTCCCATTCGTTCGAGTGGCAAAGGTCCAGTGGGTGAGTCCGTTTCAGCCTCCTAGTGGTGTTGCTGTTGTCTAACAGGTTGATGGCTTCAGGATTGGGATGTCGATCCAGTCGATCCACGTATCTGTTGGCGAATCGCTGAACTTCTGCTTTCACGGATGGGATTCCCAGTTGGGCGTGGATTGTTGCGTTATCGTGGTACAGGTGAGCTCCGGTTATAGCTCAAATTTTACATGAGAGCTACTTTTGGGAAAAACAATACGACATGCCAAATTTCGGCCGACATGACAAGGATCGGCCGGCTATATCTTATAGCTGCCATATAACTAAACGATCGGAAATGGTTTTTGGAAGAAATACCAACTTTGGTATTTTTGAAGATAGAAGTTTGGGACTTTTTTTTAGATTTTTTATTATAATGAATTGGGTCCGATGTTTGTATGTGGTTATATACTTCAAGGGTATATAAACTTCGGCTCGCCTGAAGTTAGCTTTTCTTTTTTATTTTTTGAGATAGCCTAGGCTAGATAGAGTTAAATCTTTTGATTTTGAACGGTTTCATATAATGAAAGTTGTCCCCATTTGCTTAATACAGGTTTCACCGCGAGACTCACCGCGATCGTTTGTGTTTTGGTTCGCCCATTGTTTTGCGCAGGGGTGTCCAAGCTCTGCATATGGAAGAGAAAACAAAAAATCACCAATACTTTGGTGCGAGAATTTTTTACCCATCCATGTGGGTGCACTAAAAAATAAAATTATGGTAACATTCACAAGGGGTTTAAAAAAATATTTTTAATATAGCAAATAAAAAAAGAGCCTCAATTTTTTACAACAGCTTATTATTATACTATGACAAATAATGCAAAACTTCTTAATTAAAAAAAAATATGTTTTGCGTAGGTGGACCATTTTGGCAGAAACAAAAACAAGAATGAATTTCTTGGAGTGAAAAGTTTTCGGCACTTCAACAACAAAATTCATTCGGATAAGCATGATTGAGGAGAATAGGAAAAACACGAAAAATTGTTATTGTAATTTCCCTTTGACTATGCTGGGAGCAACGAATCTTATGGCGTGAGCAACGAACCTTATAGCGTGAGCAGTCTCACAACTCCGTATGCATGCGAATTTGCAAAAAAAAAATGAGCAGCTAGAGCTATAGTATGGTATACTGATTGTATATACTGATAGTAAGCGTTGAAGTCGCAGGCTTGTTGAGCTGTGATGAGCTTGTCACTGTGTTTCGCTAGCTTGCCACTAGCTCGTCTGGGGGTTCAGGCTTTCGGTAGCCCATAAAAGATAAGGTTATAGAACATTGTGGCCCACAATAATCTCCACCTTCACAGCTCTTGCAGGAGTTTACCACCGTGGAACGTCTGGTCACGGATGTGTTAGTTCTGATGTACCCGATGCGGCAAGTTACTGCGCACAACAGCCGGTCACTTGGTAGGTGCCTCTACAGTCGTGTAGTAATGTAGAGCACCGAT